TTTGGATTTTCTTGGATTTTTTAATTTTGTTTGTTGGATTAATTATTATAACATTTTGTTCAAAATGTAAAAGTAATTATCACTGGTTTACTACATTACATTAATATTCATCGCATATCGAATGTTGCATTGTTTCAATATCTATTAGCAAATTATCCAATAAACAACAAGTAAAAATTATGTAACTATTATTTAGTGTTTGCTAGGTATGTTATAATATACTGTAAGTACTATAAGGATACATTATATATGCATTAATCGTAAAAATATCGTTGGAGTCATTAGGAATCGCCGCGTGCCGCTCGATCGTCAAGTTTAACCCTTATAGAAATATCATACTAAGAATCATTGATAATTACTTATTTTCAGTATTAAAAATACTGGATAATAAGTAATTATCAATGATTCTTAGTATGATATTTCTATAAGGGTACCTTTACCAATTCAATGCTTAATATTCGTTAATTTTTACATACATGTCAAAGAACTGGACATATTAGAGAACCACAATATATATTTATTTATACACTTATTGTTGTCTTTATTTCACTATTGTGTGTTAAATTTATACATACATATTTTATTTATGCTGCAAGTGGTTCTGCACTTTATTAAACGTGATAAAACAGCGCGGCGTATGTCATATTCCATCTCTCTCTTCCTTCCTGTTTTACTATCGAAATCTGATTTTATGTTTCGATTTTTTTACATTTATCCCTTGGGGGCACGCGTGATGTTGATTACATAGCGAAGCATTGTAAGAATAGGAAAAGTAGGGGTAACTGGCAGTCCATACTTATATAGTCAGAAATTACAGTTGAAAAAAAAATAAAAGTATTCTCGTATGTCTCATACAGTGATTAAAAAAAGCGGGAGTGATCATTTTGTTGTAAGATGTCATGGCCGAATCGGATATCCGGTTGGTCACAGCCTTTCCATTAAGGGACGTCTACATTGGAAGTAAATAGCAAGAAGTAGGAAATAAGAGTAAGAAATTGACCAACCACAGTCGAATGTGAGAAGAATAATCAACTATGATTGGTCAATTTCTTATTCTTACTTCCTACTTCTTACTGCTTACTTCCAATGTAGACGTCCCTTTAGAGATGTCCGAAGCCAATCAATATGTTGTTTTTCCGAGCTAGAAGGTTATTACGGAAAGCAGCATATTGATTGGCTGCCGCTGAACTTCCGCCGCACAGCAAACATTACCGCGTCCTGTGTGCAAAAGCCATTAGACCTGCAGCCGAAGAGAGAGTGTAGCGTAGTTAATTATGTTTTAAATTCATTTTTTTATTATTACTTTAACGAAAAGAGCTGAATATACAGAGATTTGTTAATTATTAAGATGGTAAGAGTATAATTTTTACTAATATTACATTTTAAATAAATTGAAAAGCATGCCTAACTTTAAATTCAACAAGTTACAAGGTTATGTATCTATTTCAATCTTTTAAATATATTTTATTCTGTTGTCATACAATGAAGTTTATTATAGAATGAATTATGTTACAGGGCAAAAATAAAAAAACTCGTAAGGTAGTCATGCAAAGATTTGCTCAGATGAAGAAGATGATCAGTTTGAGTGATTCACGAATGTAAGCTAATATAAGATATTTTATAATTGTTAGATATTTGTAAGCAATGTATCACAATAAGATTCGAATATTTTATAGAAAACCAGAGAAACGTCTACCATCTAAGAAAACTCCAAAAGAAGACAAGTCTAAAATAAAAATCACAGAGGTGTAAGTAATATTAGATACTTAAATGAGAGAAAGAGAGTAAAAGAAAAGAAAGAGAATGAGTAATTCATCTAGTTTATATCATTTAGTAGTAGGATTTTTATGTGTATGATGTTATAGAATAATTATTCATTACGAAATAACTTTATACTTTTAAGCTGTAAGATGATTTATATTTCAAAGGCCACAACAATCGTCAGCTCTGTTTTTCCAATACAACACACAGCTTGGTCCACCATATCATATCTTAATTGATACAAATTTTGTCAATTTTTCCATCAAAAACAAATTGGACATTATACAAAACATGATGGAGTGTCTTTATGCAAAGTGTATACCGTACATAACAGATTGTGTAATGGGGGAATTGGAGAAGCTTGGACAAAAATATAAGTTAGCATTGAAGATTATCAAGGATCCACGATTTGAACGATTATGCTGTATGCATAAAGGAACATATGCAGATGATTGTCTTGTGAATAGAGTTACACAAGTGAGTACAGATTTTGTAAATATAATGAAATTCTTTTCTTTGTTTATGATACAAATTTGAACAGAATGTTATTGTGGAGAAGATGAAACGTCAGACTGTGCATTACTTTATTATTTCAGCACAAATGTTACATTATCGCAACGAATGACAGAGATCTGAAGCGGAGGATACGAAAAATACCAGGTGTGCCAATTATGTATGTGTCTCAGCACAGGTATACGATAGAACGTATGCCGGACGCCTACGGTGCACCCAAGAAGTAGACCTAATTTAGAATCATTTTTTTTATATTGTTAATATTTACAGAAAATGTGTTGTTTTTGTAAATAAACCTTTATATAATATCAATCCTCTTGTCATTTTCAAAAACATTTTTTGTCAATAACAAAATATTCGATTTGTATGTTCTTATTTCTTGTTGATCGAAATTGGAAAGAAATAATAAAGATTTTTAACTCTAAACAAAATCATACTGATCGATAAAACTGCAAATTTACATCGCCGAGTTTAATTGAAGAGTGCTGACATCTCTATTGGAAATATAACACTTAAATACTAATGTTATCGACGGTGCATTGATTTTACCGACAGATGCAAGGGTTATGGAGTTAACGAATTCGAGTTTGAGTTGAACAGACACGAAGAGAAGATCAGTAATCGTTGTAACGATGAGAAATGCTAATTTCCGCGTATGTATTTTATTCCGGGAATATTCTGAATGCTCAGACATAAGTATGTTATGTCGCCGGCACGAAATTGGAACGGGGACAGTCGCATAATGTTGCTGCTTGCATCCTTACAAACGAGCGCAAAGGTGAGATTACAAAAGTACATATTTTTGTTCATTATAAAATGTCGGAAACTTATCTATTAACCATTAATCGTTATTGTCGATGCGACGAGAATACAAATGATGCGTAATATAATACATCACATGACAGTTCTTATCAATCAAGATCGCGTATCGCGGTCTCCAAGGTTAGGAAAGTGTGATACGCGCGTGGATTAAAATAATTGATGATTTCGGCGCACAAAGTGTCCCGGCTTTTCTACATCCGGATAAGTGTCGAGATTCTCCTCCGCTCTCGCCCCTTCCCCCCTCTTCCCCCGTTGCCTCCGTTAGGTTGTGACCTTTCTAATATCGCGGGACAACAAATGGCATACGGAACGCGTGCGTTACCACCGTGGAACGCGGGACATTAATCATGCGCTCGCGAAGGATTCAACGTCCTGTTGCATCCGTCGTCGTGAGACAAGTCTTCGAGTCGGACTTCAATCCGCCTCTTTGTCTTAAGTTTATTCTTGAGTTAACTGTCCAGACTTCACTGTTTATTTAAAGTAATTTATATTGTTACACGGAGTATCTGATAATTCATGACACTCGTTGTGTGTGTGTGTGTGTGTGTGTGTGTGTATATATGCAAGTAAATCTCATCACATAAAATCAAATTCTTTACCACATGTAAAATAATTTCAGGTCACCCTGCTCCCTGAAGAAGTCAACTGAAATGTTCACGAAACGTTGGAGCCAAGTATGAAAGACACGGAAGACGCGGTCCAAGCCCGGAAAACGAACGAAGTAACTACGTAAAATTTTGTATTATTAATAGAAGAAGATTAACGAATAATCACGTGCGATAACATAGAGAAATTTTGTGTTTGATGCGTTCTATTTGCATACGAGTATCATAAATTGGCAGACACTATAATATTCACATTCTCTATAATATTATTAAGTTATTATTATTATTAATAATAATAATTATTATTATTATTAATTATATATTTATTATTAATTACTATATTATTATTATTAATATTGTTGTTATTATATATATTAATATTATTATTATTGATTACATATATTATTACATATTATAGCGCGCAAAAAAAACAAGGTAATCTCTTAAGCCTTGTCCAGACTTGTATCGTATCACCATATTTGTATGGAGATTTGTATCCTGATCGACCAAGTGTGGACAGGGCGCCATATCGTATCCGCGTATCAAAAATTGATACGGTGATATGCTACGGTCATGATCGACCTCGAGTCGGCATTTTGCCGTTACATCAAAGAAATGATGCGGACACAGTCAGTCTGGACGCTACCCCGATCTGTATCATATGACCCTTCTTCACGCGAGGAGTGGAGCGGGGAATACACACACTTTTTTTTATCTTTTGTTTTTTTTTATTTATCATCGCTGCATCTTCTTCTTCTTTCTTTACGTGTAACAAATAAAAATGTAGTTGGCAACAGTCAACACTGTACAGAGAAAGAAAGAGAGAGAGGGAGGGGGAGAGGGGGAGAGACAGACAGACAGACAGACAGACAGACATTAGGTCTGTCCTCTTTAGCTGAACTGCCTGAACTGCAATAAGTTAGAGTGAAACAAAATATATTTGTCTCACACTAACTTATTGCACCAATGTATGTACATCAATTCAGCTAAAAAGAACAGACCTATTGTTATACACACTGAAGACAATACGGAACTAAAGATACGGATGTATCAAATGGAAAAACAAAAAAGATATGGGACAGATTCGGGTTGAAAACTAAGCCTTATCACGGTATCGTATCAGCATACCATATCATGATCGGACACGCGATACGATAATGCGATACAAGTCTGGGTGTAATATATAGGCGATAACATATTCGCGGATGCACTTTACGTCACAGTTTCGTGTTCGAAAAGACATGCCTAAATTGTCGTTGCAGCTTACTATCGTCGGCAAGTGCTACTTTACTTTCCGTCGACTTTCCAGATCAAAGCGACGACTTGTCTATTTCATCCGATAGAAAAAGACCGTTAGATAAGGGCATATTCTTCAGGGTCCTCGTCAAAAGTGTACTCACACTATTTAAACCCACATAACGCGAGTCAATTCGAGACGATGTCGTTTACCCCGTGGGACTCTCAACGTGGAGCTACGATCGGGCAGATTGGTGGCTGGCCGAGGATGAGGAGAAAAGGATGGATAAAGGTTTGTTTCATACTTGTAAATCGGTGAACTTATCAAAGGGCGAACCGATGTACATGGCGTACCCATTCATACAGCATCATACCTAGTAAACTAGATTAAAGGAAAGCAACGGTTGAACAGGCGAGCGAAAGAGCGAGCGAACGAGTGAGCTGCGTGCGTACGTAGGAGTGAAGGAAAGAAGAGGAGAGAAGGCGGAAAGCAGAAGGAGACGGTCAGTTTAGTTCGTAGGTAGAAGACCGAGAGAGGATCGAGCGGAACGCTCGATTGCGGTAACGGATTAGTTATAAAAGTGGCGTAGGGCCGCGGATATGTATCTACAGCGTCCGGATAGGTCCGGAGGACCCCGGCGACTCTCGCCCACTCTCCCTCCTCGTCCCTTTGCCATCGCCGCGCTTCTTCGCGTGGCAGTCCGCACCCCCTGCTCGCCCTTCCAGGTATTTCCCCTCCTCCCCCACGCATTATTCATCTCTTGTTCTCCGTCCTCGTCATCCTTTTCTCCTCGGTCCTCGGTATCACTCTAGCTGCCTCCTTCTCTCTGTCTCTTTTCTTCGTTCTTTTGCTTTCTCCTCTTCCCTCTCTCGCCAATTCGTCGCTCTCTCTCTCTCTCTCTCTTTTTCTCTCTCTCTTTCTCTCGCGCGCGCGCCCTCGTCGCGTCTTCCTCACTCCCGTCAAAACGAAGCAACGTCCTCGTCGCGTCGAGGCTCCAGCACACGGCGGCCATCTTGCATACCTGAGCCTCCGCATTGCTCGTTCCTCGAGGGCAAAAGGGAGAATATCTCAGCGAGACGACGGCGGGATGCGCGAGGCGAGTCGAAGGTGGAAGGATCGCGCGTGGAAGATGGCGGAGAGGGAAGGCTGAAGAAGCTAGTCGGTGAGAGGGACGAGGTGGGGGTGGAGGGGGACAGGAGAATGAGGCCCCGGTTGAGACAGCGGGCCCCGACGAAGAGCAAGTGCGAAGGAGAGACTATCCCTCAGTACGACAGACAAAGAGGCACATACACCGATAGGCAGTGGTAGGAGAGATAGGAGAGAAAGAGAGTGGGTAAGAGAAGAGGAGGGAGATGGGAAAGAGTACCGCGATAAGAGCGAGCGAAATGAGCGTTAGGAAAAGGAAGGAGCGACGAAGACAGGAGGTCGAACGTTTCTTGACACGAAAGAGGGGACCAGGGACAAGGGGAAGCGAGGAAGAGAAAAGGAGAAGGAACGATATCGGTAAAAGAGCGAGTGGGACTCACGTGGACAGAGAAAGAGAGAGACAGAGTGCTACAGTCACGATGTCTCTTGGAGCGGACGGAGAAGGTGGTATCGGTGGGCCTCGCGCGGGGTTGCAAGGGGGAAGGTAGAAATAGAGAGAGTAAGAGAGAGAAAGAGTGAATGGAGGAGCCGCGAGCTTGAGGAGGAGAGCGCGAAACAGCACGTTGGGGCCCGATGGATCAGAGAGGGACGGCGGCATCAGCCAGCCCGAAGAATGCCTCTCCCGGCAGCGGCGAAGTTCTGAGACCGGCTTGGTTCAGTCGAGTCAGATCAGTCCTTGGGAAGGCGATTTTCTCTCCGCGGTGCGCGTTCTTTCGGTGGGCCTTACGTCGTCGCGCTTATTAGCCCTTTTTTCACCTCTTTTCTCCCCTTTTCCTATTCCCCCTCCGCACCCTTCACCCTGTCCTTCACCCTGGTTAACCGCCACCCCGCATGTGCTTTCTTCACCCCTCCCCCCTTCACTCGGCTAACGTTTACCCCGAGGCGAGAGTGAAAGAGAGAGAGACAGAAAGATCGCAAGAGCGCGCGCGCGCGCGCGCTAGCTAACCCGTTGTTGCGCTCGTGAGATTGCTCCTCGCGATCGGCGAACTCGAGCATCGCGATCGCGTGAACTTCCTGACGATTTCCGCGAGAGATATCGCGAGTCCGGCGAGCGCGCGAACTCGAAGGGTGAATCGCGCGAAGCCGAGACCATCTCTTTCTCTCGAGTGTCTCGGTTACTAACTCGTTCGGTCGGATCGGTACCGCCGCGAGGGTACACACGAGGTATTTACGCGTGTGCGTATGCGTATCGTGAAGCGTGTTCTTGTGCATTAGGCATTGCAACCCTCCGTCCGTCCGCGTTTCTGTGCAGTGTTTGTATTGTCCTTGGCGTTCTCTCACAATATATCTCGAGCCAGTGATAATAAAGTCGTGGATTTTTTTCCGGAGAATCCGAGAGTGTTTCGCGACAGAGCGAGCGTTGGAGGTCGTGCCGAGTGTCTCGCTTTTGCCATCAGTGAACGCCGTAAGGTTTCGTCGTGATATACACGTCGTGAGAAAAAAAAGAGAGAAAAAAAACATCACTGCGCGATATGACAGAGCGTAGGGACGAGCCCCGGAGCACGTGACATAGGTATGCCCGGAGCGAAAAGGCCGGAAGAGGAGAGCAGCAACAGCAGCGATAGCGGGTGGAAGATCTCGTCGCGGAATCCCGTTTTCGGGAAGACGGCAAGCAGAATCTGGTCGCAATCGAGTCGATAATCGGAAAAGCCCGAAGAAACGTACGGCGTGCTCGCATGAGCATCCGCAGACGCGTTTCGCGAGGCGCGGCTCTCGGCGGGTCACTGCCCTCTCTGTCGGGTGAAGTCTCCTCTCGTGTACACTTGACTTTCAGCGGCGAGGGAAAGGAGGAGAGAAGGAGGAAAGGACGAGGAGAGATAAGGGGAGAGAGCGAGAGAAAGAGAGAAACGGACATAGAAGGAAGAAAGAGAAGGAGGAGGAGGAGGAGAGAGAGAGAAAGAGAGACGGAAAAGAAAGCACCCACCTTCGGGTGCGCGGGTTTAAATCGGGACCCTGGTCTAGGTGGGGAAGGGAAGAGAAAAGAAATGCGTCGGGTAACCGGCGATTCACGTTGTCGCACGCGCGATTAATCTCCATCCTTAGAATGTCGCGTGTACAATGCGCCGGTACTACGTAGACGTGAAGGACGAGATTATCACCGGCCACCATGAGGAGGAAGAACGACAGGTAGTGCGTACGCGGAGCGCGCATTTTTATGCCGACGAGTCGTAGAGGGTTTTGGCTAAGGCAGGTGGGCGTGTCGCGGGACAAGAAGAGATGATCATAAGGAGATCGATGGTCCTAGCCCTGCTCCTGGGACTCCTGTCGGTGGAGCAAAATGGCGGCCAGGTCGCCGCCGGCGACCTGGAGCGACGCACGGCATCCGAGGCTTTTGCGCGCAACCTACCTCAAAGGGTCACGCGCCTGGTGCCACGTAGGTCACCGATGTTGCCTCAGGACAGCGCTGCGATGGGCTTGGCTATGCAGAGTAGAGCGGTCGACACGAGGGTGCAGCTGGAGATCAAGGAAGGTGAACCCAGAGGAACCTTGGTCGGCCAGATACCTGTCAAGCCTGACTTCACGTACAGATTCAACGAGCCACCGCAGGAGTTCGTGCTCGACGCGGAGACCGGCAAGATAAGAACGGCCAAGGTGCTCGACCGAGAGGCGCTCAGCAGCGATCGCTTCGACCTGGTCGTGCTCTCCAGCCAACCGACTTATCCGATCGAGGTGCGGATCTTGGTGTTAGACATCAACGACAACGACCCGGAATTTCCAGAGCCCAGCATCGCGGTGAGCTTCTCAGAGTCCGCCGTAGCAGGCACCAAGCTGCTGCTGGACGCCGCAACGGACAAGGATACACCGGAAAACGGCGTCTTGGATGACTATTACATCGTGGACGGCAACACGGATGGGAAATTTCGTCTTCAGGTCACCGGCAATCCTACCGGTGAGACCTCGTATCTTCATCTGGAGACCACGGGCAAACTAGATCGCGAGCAGGTGGAGTACTATTCACTGAACATCTGTGCTCGCGACCGCGGCCAACCACCGCGACTCGGTTATTTGCTGGTAAACGTCACAGTGTTGGACGTGAACGACAACCCTCCCGTCTTCCAGCAGAGCGATTATGTCGTACCGTTGAACGAGAGTGCGCCGATCGGCACGAAGGTTCTCACAGTGCACGCCACCGATAAAGACTCAGAAGACAATTCCAAGTTGACGTATTACTTGCCGGACAACGAGCGAAAATTCACCATAGACCCGGAAACAGGTACGATCATCACCGCCGAGCCACTCAGGTGTCCTGAGCAGATATGCACCGTGTCTCGTCCGGGTGGTGGTTGTCCCAAGAGTTGCGTCATAACGGTCTTTGCTCGCGACCACGGTTCACCTAGACAAGACGGTCGTACGTACGTAACGGTGAATCTGCTGGACGCGAACGATCATGCGCCTGAGATCAAGTTCACCTTCTTTCCGGCTGGTCTTCCGTACGCCACCGTCGACGAGAACGCCGTTAATGACTCGATCGTGGCGGCGGTCGCAGTGGTTGACGTCGATGAGGGCTTGAACGGCGACACCAGCGTGGAAATACGTGCCGGCAACGAGCTCGGCCACTTCCGGTTGGAGAGCACGATGGCCTTCTATATTGTGCGTGTCAATGGTCGGCTGGACCGCGAGGAGATTCCCAAGTATAATTTGACGGTAGTTGCCACCGATAAAGGTACCCCGTCCAGGTCCACGACGTCTTACCTCGTAATCCATGTTAACGACGTCAACGATCACGAGCCGGTGTTCCAGCAGAGCGAATACTCGGCGGTGCTGTCGGAACTGTCGCCGATCGGTAGCTTCGTCGCTAGTATTTCGGCTACAGACGCGGATTCCGGAGTGAATGCCAAGATCAATTACGACTTCGCCGCGGGTAACGAGCAACACTGGTTCGCCATAGACAGCAATACCGGCTTGGTCACCACTGTAGCCACCTTGGACCGCGAAGTTAAAGGCAGTATCGAGCTGCACGTGTCAGCTTGGGACGGCGGGCCCAACCCCAAGTTCGCGGACACGTACCTGAAAGTCACTATTCTCGACGAGAACGACGAGGCGCCGCGCTTCTCCGAGAGCATGGTCAGAATCACCTTGTTGGAGAATACGCCTCCGCACAGTCTGGTGGCCACTCTCACAGCCGTGGACAACGATCAGGGTACCAACGGCAGTGTCGCGTATAGTTTCCATCCCAGCGTCTCGCGTGATTACCCCAACACCTTCGCGTTAGATGTCCTGACCGGTCAGCTGACGACTAAGGTCGATCTCGACCGAGAGACCATAGGAGAGTATCAAATCTTGGTGATAGCTAAAGATCAAGGCACACCCGTACAGTCCTCGACCGCCACCGTGGTGTTGACTTTGGAGGACGTCAATGACAACTCGCCTGTGTTTTACCCGTGGCAATATCTAATGTCCATCCCTCAAAACGCTGTCTCGGGCGCTGTACTGGGTAAGGTGATGGCGACCGACGCTGACGCCAAGGAGAACGCGCAAGTGAGATATTCGTTGGAGTACGGTGGTGAAGGTCTTTTCGCGGTCGACAGCAGCACAGGCGAGATCACTCTTCGGAATACTTCCAGTGTCATGCGTAAGACCCTGTACGAATTGACCATCTCGGCGAAGGATGTCGGCGACCGAGTAGCCATGAGAAACGCTATCGTGGAGATCCTTCGCAATGATGACTTGGAACACCTCGAATTCAACAAATACAACGGCTACGAGTTTAAAATCTCCGAAGACAAAGGCGACTGCACCTCCGTGTCCAGCGGATTCGGCAGAGAGATCGGCACGGTACAGACTACGCTGTACAAAGACGCCAAGGTGAGCTACGCGATCGTGTACGGCGATTCCAAGGGCAACTTCAAGATCGACCCAAACACCGGCACCATCAGCACCGCTGGCTGCTTGGATCGCGAGCAAGAGGCTTTTTACAGGCTGCAATTGTGGGCGCGCGCTAATTTCGCGTACGGTCGGACGATCGTGAACATCACCGTCGAGGACGAGAATGATAACCCGCCCAGGTTCCCCAAGGGCGAACGGGGCGACGAAATTCTCCTGAACGAGAACGCAGCGGTCGGTCAGGAGGTGTGTCTAGCTCGTGCCAGAGACTCGGACTCTGGTGCAAACGCTAGGATCGTTTACGCCTTGACGCATAACCCCGGTGAGCAGTTCAGAGTTGACGAGAACTCTGGTATCATATATTTGGGTAGACCAATCAGGGCACCACCCGGCACGGTTCTTCATCTGGAGGTGACGGCAACTGATTCGGGTCGTGACCCGTTATTAGCTCAATATCAGGTCCGAGTGACGATCGGCGATGTGAACGATCACACACCGGTGTTCAACTTGACCAGCTATGAGACATCCTTGGCCGAGTCCACGCCGGTGAACGAGCGTTTCTTCTCACTGACGGCCACCGACACGGATGTCGGCGCCAACGGGCAAGTGTTTTACAGCGTGACCGATGGCAACGGCGAAGGTCGCTTCGGGATCTTCCCAGATGGTCAGCTGTACGTGAAGAAGGAACTCGATCGAGAAGAGCAGGATTACTACGCCCTGGAAGTGACCGCTTCTGACCAAGGCGAGCCGTCCAGAAGTTCCGTGGTGCCGATGGTGATACACATAATCGACGAGAACGACAACGCGCCGGAGTTCACCAACAGCAGCTTCAGCTTCCATCTGCGCGAGAACGAGCCTCCGGACACCTTTGTCGGCAAACTGCTCGCGACCGACCGCGACATCGGCCGCAACGCCGACCTGATATTCTCGCTACCGACGAGCCAGCAGGACTTCATCGTCGACCCGAAAAACGGCTTCATCAAATCGCTGCGCGTATTCGACCGGGAACTACTCATGACCAACACCGGTGACAGCTCTATCACTTTGGAAGTCACCGTCACCGACAACGGCGTGAATCGTCTGCGCGATCGTGCCAAGGTCACCATATACATCACCGACGTGAACGACAACGTGCCGCAGTTCCAACGCTTACCCTATCGCGTCCAAGTGAGCGAAGGCGCCGCCATTGGCACGCAACTGCTGCGCGTGTACACCACCGACGCTGACGAGGGTCTCAATGGCGACGTGTTCTACTCCCTGGAGGACGGGAACCAGCACGGCCACTTCATGATCGACGAGGCCACCGGGCAGATCTCGCTGGCGAAGGTACTCGATCGCGAGACCTTCGACAGCTACGTGTTGACTGTCGTGGCGCACGACGCCGGCATGGAGAGTCGTCTGTCCTCCAGTGCGACCGTCTACATCGAGGTGCTCGACGAGAACGACAACGTGCCGCGTTTCGTCGACAATAAGTCCAAGATCTCCGTGCTCGAAAGCACGTCGACCAACACCGAGCTGCTGAGATTCAAGGCCACCGATAACGACCTCGGGGTCAACAGCGAGCTAGCGTTCGCAATATCGGCTGGCAACAGGAGAGACATCTTCTACATCGACCCGTTGACCGGCACGCTATACTTGAAGAAGCCACTCGATTACGAGGAGCAGGTGCGCTACACGCTGAACGTCACCTGCAGCGACGGCGGCCATCCCAGACTCAGCTCAGTCACCAGCCTGGTCGTTCAGGTGATCGACGCCAACGATAATCCACCGGTGTTCCCCAACACCGCGATAGTACGTCAGATACGCGAGGGTATCCACGTGCGCACGCCGATCGTCACCATCACCGCCGAGGACCCGGACTCCGGCGATAACGGGGTCGTCAGTTACTCGATCCTCAGTCAAGACCCGGAGGATCAAGTGCGGCGATTCGGCATCAATCCCTCGAGCGGCGTGATACACACGCTGCAACCGATCGACCGCGAGGAGGTGGACACCTTCAAGCTGGTGGTGGTCGCTACCGACCGGGCCGAGCCGCCGAGCGCGCGGTTGTCCGCCGAGAAGCTGGTCATCGTCATTGTCGAGGACGTCAACGACAATGCGCCGATCTTCGTCAGCATGTCGGCGGTGGTGTTGCCGAGGCACCTCGGCAATCCGAACTACCCGCAGCACCAGCTGAACAAGTCCACCAAGGAAGTCGTGGTGGTTCAGTTGCTCGCGCGCGACCTGGACTCCAGCACCAATGGCTTGGTGACCTACGAGCTGCTGCGCTCGAGCGGCAACTACTCCGACGTGTTCCGCATCCACCGCAGCACCGGCTACCTCACCATGAAGCTCCCGCGAGGCTCCTCCGCGAGGAACCCTCACTACCTGGAGCGCGCGTTCAAGTACCAGGTAGGCGTGCGAGCGACCGACGAGGCGGTCCAGGCGGAGCGTCGCTCGTCGGAGACCTACGTGACCTTGATCGTGCCGAGCGAGGACGGCGACGATCAGCCGGTGTGGGAGCACCGGGGTCAGCTCGAAGGCAGCGTGTACGAAAACGAGCCGGTGGGTACCAGCATCCTGCGGGTGAGCGCGCGCTCCCGCCGCTCGTCCTCCAACCTCGAGCTCGAGTATTACGTGACGAACGTGACCGCCGGCGGCAGCGGCTCCCAGGTCGACCGGCTCTTCGACGTCGACACGAGGACGGGCGTGCTGTCCACCGCGGCGGCCCTCGATCGGGAAACCGGCGCGCAGTGGTACGAGGTGGAGCTGTACGCCATCGGCCTCGGCGGCAGCAGGCCCAGTACGACGTCCACTAAAGTGAGTTCTACGTCTTTTGATTGATCGTCCCGGTGATATTAATGATGCGTCGGCTCCTGAAAGATATTCGGTGCTTTTTGTCCGCCGAGCGTCTCTCCCTCTCCCCGCGAGCCCCCTCCCCGCTGCCCCCTGGTCGCCACTCCCGTCCCGCGCGCGCACGCCTCGCGTAATGTAATTTCTCGATTGCCGGATAAGACCGCGGACTCGTCCGTCCGTCCGTCCGTCCGTTCATTTGGCCAGGTTGTCATCTACGCGCGCGAAAGAGAGAGAGAGGAGGGGGAGAGGGATTTGGCGAGAATATTTTAATTGCCGAGACGGCGAAAGGTATCGCGCGGAATTACAGTTACACACTCGGCGCCAGAATGACGGAGCTGCTTTTTTGTTTACGGACAATTAATACGGATTTATTCCGACGCGAGAGGGGAAAGCGAAATTAAAACGCGAGAAGCGGGTATGATAATGATAGTTATTAGAACGCGCGACATGTGCTAAGTGTGCTCGATGTGTTTTCATTGAGACGGAATTATCGTGATCTACCGCCTAATAAATGATTATTATCGTCACATTTTCGAGCTGAGCCGAAATTCGCGATCAGAGCGACTTTTTCAGACGGCGCGGGTTCCGCGCACCTTCGAGGTGCGCCGAAATTTTTCAAAAATACGCGACACGTGGATCTTCGCGGTTTCGCTCGCTTATCGCACCCCCGATGCCAACGTGATTAACTGCAGGGCTGCAAACAGATTTCTAGAATACAGGTAATAATTTTACCTGTGCGTGATTAATTGTCTGGGAGATACTAATGATGTATTGGGTTCTGAAAGGAACTCTTTATTAAGTGGGCATACACACCGCGTGTAATTCCTGGGGAAGTCGATAGAATCCATTTTCCTTAACCAAATATTGACGTTACCGCCGAAACACAAGTATTATCATTATTCCATTACACGCCCGCTTCAGCTTTCAATCAATTTCCCGCTCGCCACGCCGCTCTTTCACAAGGACACTTTTTTATTTTTTAACGCAACTACGATAACAATTTATCTGACTCGAAACTCTCGAGATCGAGAGACTTTTGTTTCGTTCACGCTAGGAATTTCTAATTGCTAAAAATTGAAGCAAAAATAATGCACAAAATTGAGAGGACGTGACGCACGTGTCTTCTTACGGATTCGCGTAGGCGACGAGACGTGGGAAATTTGATGGCACGCGTAGCGGCACGCACGAGGCGTGCAATGCGCGCAAAAGGAATTGAGGAACTTTCGACATTTCATCCTCAACGTTATTTACGATCGTTTCTGCCGCGACTCTATAGCCGGCATTCACTAATTTCTCCTTCTCACTCTCGATGACACAATAATTAGGGCGGCGACGTACGTGCCGCGTGTCTCTCGCTCGGCAGACGCGATAATTCCTTCGACTGAGAGAATTACGTTACGCAACAATACCCTTAATGTAATTAGAGTCGGCGATAGAGAGATGAAAGAGACGAAGTGGGTAGACGGAGAGACAGTGAGTAGAGAGAAAGAGAGAGAGACAGAGAAAGAGAGAGAGATAGGGAGAGAGGGTTCAAGGGAGAGCAATAAGAAGAGGAATCTCTAGAGATGAGAGGCGCGATGGGTGGAAGGACAACGTGCGCGCGGGGAGAAGGCGCGGGCCTTCATAGTAGGGAGAGAAAGGATGCGGAGGAGGGAGATCGTGAATACGAACGGTTTACAGCCGGTTCAGTGCTGCATAAATAGGGCTTAGGACCCGGGACGTTTCCTCAAATTACAGGGCGCGTTTCAAATTTATACGAAAGCGCCGCGCCACGCCGCCACCGCCATCTCGTCTTGTTTTATTAGAACGCAGCATATCCTAATTAATTCGCGCTTTTTACTCCGTGCTTATACGGGCTGTTTCGCGACTCGTCGCGCTACGAGTTGCATAACTTAGACTACAATTTTCGGGGGAGATCTCCGGGCGGATCTGAATCGAACCGGACCGCGCGACGCTACGACAGCTGGGACAGATCACAGATGTTGTCAGAACCACGAGGTCGTCGTGACTTCTTAACTTTGAGAAAGGAGGTTCTCAGTTTATCCCTTTCATGAATGTCCGTACGTTCCTCGAGAATCTAACTCGCGAGAACATAGCTCGGGGACCGTTAGAGATATTGAGGTGAGACTTTTTTGTAACTTGTTCAGTATTTTACCTACATGGTTCTTAAATTAGTGTCACATTACTCAGCTCGGGGGGACAAGAAAGGTGATCTGGGTAATCCCATTACTTCCTCGAAAATCCGAGATCATCTAGAGATATACTAAACGAAACTTTTACTTTTTTAAAACAAACTTTTAGCAAATAATCGACAAGTAAAGAACTCTTCTGATCAAATTAAATCTCAAGTCTCCCTTGAGGGCGGTTTCCCGAGTTCTAATCCGCCCTTTGAAAATCATTCATACATTCATCTACTCATCGAACGTCAGATAAGAAATGCCGACGACGTCCACGTCATCCCGCGGTAGGTTCCTCTGAACGCGCGTCCCTAACAAGCTCGACCGTTCCGTTCGACGCGCATTTCGCGCGAATTCGCGACCGGAAAATCCGCGAGACGATGAGCTGCGGAATCCACGTCGCGATGTCCACTTCTATGCCGCGGGGTGGTTGGGAAGGACAAACGGGGGGCAGCGGAGGGCGATCGAGAAGACGACGGGTGAAGACGGCGAGAGCGTGAGATGAGGAAGAGGAGGCGGTATGGCAAAGTGGGAGAGAATAAACGACAAGATGAACCGCGTGCCAGGAAATCAACTCGGATTCGAGTTCGGGCTGGCCCCTGGCTGGCCCTCGCTCTCCCGGAGGTTCGAGGACTCGAGAAAAACTTGATCTTGAACGAGCGAGCGGGCGCATACAGGCGCAGCAGCCCTTACCTCCGCGCTCGCGCACGCCTCGGAGGCCGTCGAGAGAAGTTGCGCAGTTGGTCCCGTCTCTTCTACCCCCGGTGCGTGCCGCTTCATTTCTGAAGATCCTCTCCGCCGTGTCTCGTCGTGTCTCGCTCCCGCCGGCTCTCTCGCTGCTCCTCGCCTCGTCTCTGTCCGGTCTCTATAAGAGTCTCGCAGTTTTAAATTTAACTCTACTCCCCAGGTAGTTCACCTTTCGCCGCGCTTTTCGCGAGCGATCCGAAGAGTAGCTCGCAGCTACTCGTCTCCTCTTTTTGCACTTAGATATGAATCATGGAGATGTATTTATGTGTACGTGTGTGCGCGTGTGGGTAAATGTAATCGTATGTATAATACGAGATTGGCGGATGAGATCGCGCGCGGTGTAATGCCCCAATGTGCTTCAATTAATAACGAAAAATCCACGGGGCTTTTTGCAAATTGGTTGAGGACTTTCTAGTCCAGTTTCACCCAGTCTACGAGCACTGCGACCGCGAGGCGTCGCTATCGCAGCTCATCTTATAAAGTCTCCTTTAATCAATCATTCAAAATTTCACGTAGTTCTTTGCGAAATAATGGAGAAATTTTGCGTTCAGCCTGACCTAACATAAATGTACACGAGATATGGAACACTTTACGTTAGACACTCTGTATATATATATCTATATATGTACATATGCATATACTCTCTTAAAGTGAATCAGTGAAACATCATTGAAAGCAATAAATACACTGATTCGCAGCTATAAGTGCAACACTGAAACTGCTCAGTGCTATACTTATAACTGATATCAGTGACTATTCACTGATTCACTTCAAGAGAGTAATTCTCCAAAAATGATAGAAAATACAGTCATCAGTGAGAAGTAAAAAAATCTCGCGATATTTTATCGACGTGGGCAACGATTTTACGATCTTTCACTCTGGGATGTTTTTCGAAAAGTCAATCTTTGAGCACGTAATAAACAACATATTTCGCCCCCTCTCTACCCGTAAATAGACACCCTCTTTTTCTCGTTTCCTGTCCCTCGCTCTGCCCCCGTCGCAAGCTTCTCTCCTCCTACTTTCGTCGCTCGCTGTGGGATCAGCGACTCTTCGGGAACCGACTCTGCAGTTCGGAGGTTTTTGCGCCGCTCTCAGGAGCCGCGCGTCTCTTCGGGGCCCCTACAGGACCGGGCCCGGGCAGGTCGGTCGTTCTCCTCCGCGCGCGCGCGCTCCTTTCCTCCCTCCCTCCCTCCCTCCCTTAAGAGGGTAAAGCTGTCCTCTTTTTCGTCGCGCGGACGGCATCATCGGGTCCACGTCGTCGGCTTTTTGCTGTGCTAGGGTAGTATCCACGGGGTTGCGGCGGTGCGCACAGTCGCAGACGCGCCCTTTGTTTAACCCTTTGCAACGTGGCAACGACCACCGATATTTTGTCCGTTCAGTCTCTCTCCCCCCCCCCCTCTCTCTCTCTCTCTCTCTCTTTCACACACACATTCTTTTCACGAAGGTGGCGTTTCCCACGAAGCGTGACTTCAATTGTCGCGCGTCTGGGGGTCAATCGTGAATCTTTTCCCCTAGTATGGACGCGTGAAAAGATCTGATTATCTTGAAAATTAACGGAAACATTCACGTGAAAGATCTGATTATCTTGAAAATTAACGGAAACATTCGCTTCTCACGAGTTTTCACGTTGGGGAAAAAAAGCTCACGATCGTCAGTAAGTGCTGCAAAATTATTCGCGCTTTTCGCAATTTTCTGCTGGGGGAAGAAATTGCACGATTGCGATAAGTAAGGTCGAGTTCGTGCGGAAAGAGATTGGGATGTCCGAAGGGCGAGAAGCCGTATACTTGGCGTGGTCGCCAAGTGCTCGCCGGAACGCCGGCATAATTTCCCACTCTGGCGCGACGTTGCACCCTTATTCATTTCCGCGATAAATCTACACTCGCGGAAAAGAAGGACGACGTGACGCACGCGCGACGTCATCGCGGGCATTCTTTTACTCCCGCGTGGAAGTCGCGGAGGGGTCGATGTGCTCAACATTTGTAATTCTAACATTGTTAGAAGGAGAGATGGTGGTTCATTAGAGAACCCCACCGTACACAC